CAGTATTGAAGATAAAGGATGCGATTTGTAGGACGAAAATATGAAATACGACAACGAAACGTTAAATATTAATCGTGCACTCCAGAAAGAAATTTATTATACGCTTTTGTGTTACCGGTAAACGTGTTACCGATTGTCGATAAGGTAGTTACCACCACGTACCACAGCTATGCTAGATACTTGTTCTATCGTCGGTAACGTACCATGCGCAAAGATAAAGTAGAAATCTGCGTTCACGTGGTTCGTTACTTGACGGAGGAAACAATAGGTGTCGCTGAAATGCATAGAAGTGGGGCCTCTCTATGAATTTTCTATGAACACGTTTTAGAACGTGTGCTGCAGTGGGACGGAACTTATAGTTGTGTTATTATTGCTATTTGGTTGTACCATGACCTCCTTTTACATGGCGCATATGCGGCCGTACTAACCGAATGTGAAAACATCGTCTCGCGAAACTTCACGATAATGATTTATTCGCTACAGGATCGATGGTGCAAACGTTCTGTACGAACGTTTAAATTTGTAATTTTTTCGAACGGTTCATCACGCCAGCGATATCTCAGAGGCGATACACGTATGAAAATTGCGATTCGTACAAGGGCGTAAAGAAGAAGAAAAGAGAAAGAAAAGTGTCGTCGTTGCGTTGGATCGATCGAGAGACGCATAACCGATGTGTAACATCGTCGGGCGAAATCCTATTTTTCCGAAATGTCTCGAATTACCATTGGTGACGGCAGTGGGAAACGGCGTTGTTTCTCGTCGAAGTGCAAATGCACGGTAGAGTCTGGCTGTTCTGTAACACTCGATACGCGTCTGAAATGCTGTCGCGCGGCAGGCACACATAGGTATATACACACACGCATACGGTTAGGGGGGAGCGTGAATTTTCGATGGAAGGACGGTTGCGTGTGGGTGCATGAATTTGACGCGCGCACCGCGCGCACACGACAGCGTGTGCATGAATCGAACGAACGGACATTGGAATGATTTCTCGCGCCACGTGTGTGCGACTGGAGCGTATTTGGTGTGCGTGTTTCTCCCCACGTGGTTGTGCGTGCCGCGCTCCAGGCACACGTACACACGTGAACGGACGGCATGGTGGCGGCGGCGACGACAGAGGCGCCGAAGACGCGTGCAGACACGAATATGTACGGTTAAATGTCCCCGCGCGTATGCATCTCCCTCTCGCCCGCGCGTTTATATACGAACGTCTAGCGGCTCGTCACGTGTACGTGTCAAAATCAATATTTGGCGTTACTAGGTTATGATAACACGGTACATCGTGTCGACGGTGCTCGTCTGTCTTACGTGTGTATATACACGGGGGGACTCGATTCCGTTCGCGTACATTGTAATCGGCTTTCCGCCAAATTCTTTTCGAGAATCGTCGTATAGAAGAAAGGGTCGGAAGAAAGAAAGGGCGAACGGGGGAGTAGGATGGTATCGATAGGTGGAGCGATGAATTTTAATACAGGTAATTATCGCCGTAATTACAGCCGAATTGGTCTGGTCTCGTTCTATCCGAGCTACTTGGCATTCCGCGTTTCCGCCGCGCTTTCGTTACCCCAAGAAGCGCGGCAGGAATGTTGTGCTTACTTAGCTCGTCGAGTAGATCTCGTCGTCGTCGGAGGAATACCGGCACAACAGGTGTACAGCCGCTCTACATAATGCATAGAGCAGATTTCTCAGGAGCGTAAACTGTATAAACTCGGAAGGGCTTGCGGCCTGGCGCCAACTACGCGGTTACCTCCGAAAGCGAACCTTTGTTTCCACCATATTTCCAGCCCCGTCCGCCCCGCGACACAAGTACGTACCGCGTTGCGAAACTTCCATTTTCCACACTTGTTCCGTTTCACAAAATTTCTTCATTTCGAGAAGTTTCGTCGGCGAAAGGAAATTGGCGGCGAGTCCCCCTCGCGGTTATACGTAAACGGCGTATCGCTTCGACGCGACGTTTCGCCGGCTCATTTGTCCACAGAGCACGGATTAATTACCATTTTAGCGAAACAAAGCCGGTTTCTCTATCAACGGCGTTGCAGGACTTGGTACGGTTTGCGTTTAATCCCGCCGGTTATTCGTTTATCCTTTCATGCTTTCAGCGAGTACACGTCAGTCTGTTTGTCATGTTCGTTGCCTGTTTCTCCTGCTATCCCTCCCACTCCCCTCTCACCCTCTCTATCTCGCCCCCGTTCCTCCCTCTGTCCCTGTTCGTCTCGCGGGGAAACAATTCCACTCGGACAATTTTCCACGCATGGCCTGCCACGTTTTTTCGCCGCGTCCACGCCTATTTTGGGATTGTTGCTCGCGGAATATTTCCACGGGGCGCGTGTCCAGAGAGAAGAGCCTTCCTCGCGCTCCTACGCACGCTCCTAACAGTCACCGATTAGAGGGTACTCGTTCGACAGCGAGAGAGAGAGAGAGAGAGAGGAGAAAGAGAGTTGGTGGGCCGCACGTAACGCGATTTAATTAAACGAAAGGTGTGTTCCGCTTCGACACCGCTCGATTTTATGCCCGCGGAAAAACTACCGCGAAAATAGCACGCCGCTCTTCGTAAATCCTGGTCTATTTAATTAGCTCTCGCTGCTCCGTAAATATTTTGCTTTATCGTCGCCCGGCCGCGCACACTCGCTTCTCGTTCCTACGTATCTCGATTATCACGCGGCACAGACGCAACGGACGCGCTGTTTCGACGGTAACAGGAATATCGTGGAAATGTCAATTTAGTCCGTGACGCGTTGCCGGCGCAGCGCGCCTGTTATCGAAAGACGGCGAGAACTCCTTCGAATTCAACACGGTCGCAAGTTTCAATTTCACCGTGGCCGCCTCCTCCCGCTCTCCCGCAGAATCGCCATCGAAAGGGTTAAAGGTGAAACGCATTTGAAAGTGGAACGTGGACGC